AAGCAGCTTTCTGGAAGTTGGGGATGATCCCCTGTGTTTGAATTATGGAACAGGGAAAGGAAAAATGTTTCCTGTTGTCATTAAAGTGCTGATTGCTGACTGCAGGAGGTAATTCCCTACCCTGGGATCTCTGGTGCTCCCAGCAATCTGTGCTTGCCTTTCATGGCTCATTTCTGATTTGACATTTCACAAGTGAGGCTTTAGGGCTGCAGATCCACCCTTGACTTACACACAGAATTCAACCCCCTTTGTGCAAAGGGTGAAAGGTGAGCTGGATAAGCTGGAAGTGCTTGTTGGGGCAGTTCAGTATCTCTGGTATCTCTGCAGGCTGAGGAGTTACGTGTGTTCATTTGGGGAATATTCAGATTTCAAAGGTACCTCATGCACTGGGGACAGGATGAACAGAATTTGTCCCATTCCCAATGACTGCAGGATGCTCCATGAACTTGGTGACAGCTTCCCCTGGCAGTGTGGAAAAACAGGGCCAGAGAATCTGAGAGGAAATAGAGCTGAAGGCGACAACTGTGCCTCCATCACTTGTAAAACTAAGCAAGGCACTCGTGGAAACCCAGAGCATCAGGAATATTTCTGTGTCTGCTCTGGGGTGCCCTGGCCCCCAGGGGAGCCCTGACTTTGTCCCTCATTCATGGAGAAAGTTTCCTAAACTCCAGAATAGACTGGAACCCACAAGAGTGTGCAATAGATTATAGAGAGCAGTGCAGGTGTGTCACTTGGTGAGAAATTGAGGCTTTGGGATTTTTAGTGTGTTGTGGATGGCAGCAAGATGGAGGGCACAGGGTGTCACCCTGGGTTTCTTCTTCATGCTTCTTCTTCCTCCTCCTCCATGGGTTTGGGTGGCATTTTGTAATTGGGTGGAAAAGTCCCCATTGCAGCTCTGTGGGATCAGTTATTGGGTTAAAAGGGAAAATAATCCAGGTGTCAGCTCTTAACTGGATAGTTTAGTCTTAAAAGCCCTTGGAACAAGAGGTTGTTGGCCATTTGGTGCCTTCTAATGAAAAGCTGCTGAACTCACAGCAGTGAGACTGTTTCACTGATAAGAAATAATAAAGACCTGAGTCTGAACATGAGCTACTGTCTCAGTGCCTTCAATGCAGACCCAGAGAAACCAACAGCTGGGACCCCCAGAGTTGAACTTGCTCTGCAGGTTCCTGGTGCTAGGAAAGCAAATTAACAAGAGCAGAGCCGGCAGCAGTGGAGCAGTTTCAAATTCAGGGAGTAGTGGAGTGCTTTTCCACCTAGCAGTCATCAAATGAGGGGATTCCTGCAAGGATTTCAGAGCACAGTTGTGCAATTTCAGAGCCAGTGAGCTCCCCCTGTATTTTCCCTGTGGGAGAGCTCTGCCAGGCACAGCTCTTTCCTTGCCTGGCATTGCCCAGGGGCTGCAGCACTTTGGGGCTGATAGAGCACAAGGGATGTGGCCTCTTCTTTCCACCTTGTAGGTGGCAGAAAGTGTTAGTGAAGATATCCCACTGATCATGGCCAGCTTGGGAACGTTGATCTGAGTTTTGGTGCTTTGGGGCAATTTCTTGGGTAGTGCTGGGACAGGAATTTGGACCAAGAAGGTGATTTGGAATGGGGAGAGGTGGATGGAGCAAATGCCTCACAAGCAGCTGCTTGCTGGGCCTGTTTGGGGGAGTTATATATAGATTGTGCTCTCTGCTAGTGTGGCAGCTTGCACAATGGGCTCCTGAGAGAGCTCTTTCTCTAGGGATTTATTGTTTCTTTGAGATCAGGGTGTGAGAGCAGGAAAATGCTGAATCCCAGTGCACAAGGGCAGGTCATGGGGCATGACTTTGGTTTGTCCTTCCCAGCAAGGAGAGGGATCCCAGTTTGCTCCTGTAAACAGAATGAGAATCCCAAAAAATAAAAATATTCCCTGTAATCATAGAAAAATTGAATGGTATGAGTTAAAAGGGATCTTAAAGCTCATCCAGTTCCACTCTGTGCCACCCTGGGACACCTTCCACTGTCCCAGGGTTCTCCAAGCTGGCCTTGGGCACTGCCAGGGATCCAGGGGCAGCCCCTGCCTGCTTTGCTGGGATGCTGCTGCTTTCCCTGGCTCTGTGAGGCTGAAGCTCTTGTTCAATAGCCCAAGAAGTTCTTTGATGAAAATTGAGTGTCACAATTTGTGTGCCTCTTGAGGTAAGCAACTAGATTTTTTTCTTTCTCACTTAGTTTCTAATTGTTTCATCAGTTACTTCCTTGAAAAGCCCCACACAAATTAAAACTTGGGACAATATCCAAATATATTTATTTATTTATTATTATTTATTGTAGCTTAATGTAATGAAAGTTCACACCATTCTTTCCATTGTGCTCGGGAAAAATAAGTGAAAAATAGGTAAAAAACCCTTAGATCTCTTATGCACCAAACATTTGCTAGAATTCTCAGGAAGGTTATGAGCAGTCAGTTTAATTCCTAGAAGGGAAATCACTTTGATGAAGTTAGAAGTGAAGAATGATGCAACCAATGGAGATAATGTTGACTCACTTTCTGTCTCACTGATGGGTATCTAGGGGAAACATGGAGGTGTTACATGCGCTGGATGCTAATTTTTCTGTTACATTGTAACCCTACTTTTATATCTTTCCCCTTTCCTTTCTACAGCTCACTTTTAATTTAAAAAAAAAAAAATGCTTTCCTTCCAAAATGCCCTCTCCAGAGCCAGTTGTGTGCCAGGCCAGGGTGGTTTAGAGCGGTCTGTTGTTACAGAGCCCCTCTTTGTGCCTCTTCTTCTTCACAATCCCCTTTGTGCTGCTCCTGCTTCTTCTGTAAATGTGTTTCCCTGCTGGCCTTGGTCTGTTGGGCACCTTTTCCACCCTTCTGCTTTCCTGGAGGTTCAGAAAGCCAAGGTAATTCACAAAGATTTGAATTTAAGTGTACCAGAATGGACTTTCCCAATGGATATTGTGTTCAGCCTTTTTTCCCTGTTCTTCCAACCTTGCTATGTTGTTTCTATGGCAGAAATTCAATCTGCCCTTAATTGAGAAAAACAACATGAGGAAAAGCAAGGAATGAGAGATGCTCAAAAGCAAGCCTGGTATTCTTCAGCTGAGTTAATCCTGAATGTAATGCCATGGGTTTAACTGGAATTACACTGGGGATTAGTCCAGCTGATAGCTGATCACACTCTAATAGCTGCCTGGCTTTGGGAATTGGGTGAGCAGGTGCTGTTGCCTCCTTCCAGCCCCATTCCTTCACGTCCCTGTTTTCCCACAGTGGGCCCTGTTCTTCTGCAGCAAGATCTCATTTGGGGAACCCCATTTATCCCTTGGGGTTTCCTATTTTCTGTTTAAAGAGTTCATCAGAAGAACTGGGAGCATTGCAAAATCCCAGCACCTTTTTCCTTTTCTTTCAACAGGCTCACTCAGGGCATCAATGATTTTAAACTCTGCTGGAATGGAGGACAGAGATGAAACAGGAATATTTTATGGACTGCTGGTGATCGTGTGCTGAAGAGTTAAAGTAGGCTCAGCGTGTTGGACCTGGAGGGAGCTTTGCACTTGCAGGCACGACAAGAAGTGAGGTATCTCCTCCTAGAGGAGAGGCAGCACAGTTGGCACTGCCATCCTTGTGGACCTGGGATGGATCTATGGATGGGTGTGGAGCAGGAGGCGGTGGTCCAGGACCACAAGTGCAGTGCTGGAAGGCACCTTTCACCTTCAGGTGTAGAATTACCCACCCACCCACCCACTAGGATATTCCTTTCTCTGTCCCTGGCTCACGGGCCATCCCAGGGTGTACTGTGGTGTCTTTCCACCGGGGCATTGCTTCTCCTTTCCTCTGTTTCAGCAGAGTTCAGGGACCTGAGCTTTTCCAGCAGTGGGAGACTGAGGATTTGGGGCAGAGCTGTCAGTCACGGCGTTTCTCTTCCCCTCTCCTTCTGCCCTTTGTTTGCTGGGAGGCTCCTCTGTGTTTCCTTTCAACTTTATTTTGTATTTTTGCCAAACCCTCAGTGACCACCCTCCAGCACCGCTTGGTTTAAACATCCCTTTTACCATCCTCATCCTCCTCAGGAGCTGCTTTTCCCTCAGTAGCGTTGTGTGGGCTGCCATTCCTCCTCCCTCTTCCCTCCCTGGCCGTGGCAGCAGAGCCCCAAGCTCCTCATTTCAGGTCCCTTTTCCCAGGCACGGTGTCTGAGCTCCTCGCCCGCTCCTCACAGGGGGTGAGAGCTGGAGCTCCCTGCCCGCTCCTCCGGGGCTGAGGGTCGGTGCTCCCTGTCCACTCCTCACGGGGGGTGAGATCCAGAGCTCCCCGCCCGCTCCTCCGGGGGATGAGGCCCGGAGCTCCCTGCCCGCTCCTCACGGGGGCTGAGAGCCGGAGTTCCCTGCCCGGTTACCGCGGGGACCAGGCTGGAGCTTCCTGCCCGGAGTTCCCTGCCCGCTCCTCCGGGGGCTGAGAGCCGCAGCTCCCTGCCCGCCCCTCACGGTGGGTGAGGGCCGGAGCTCCCTGCCCGCTCCTCCGCGGCTGAGAGCCGGAGCTCCTTGCCCGGTTACCGCGGGGACCAGGCTGGAGCTTCCTGCCCGGAGTTCCCTGCCCGCTCCTCCGGGGGCTGAGAGCCGCAGCTCCCTGCCCGCCCCTCACGGTGGGTGAGAGCCGGAGCTCCCTGCCCGGTTACCGCGGGGGCCGGGCCAGAGCTCCCTGCCCGGAGCTCCCTGCCCGCTCCTCCGGGGGATGAGAGCCGGAGCGCCCTGCCCGCCCCTCACGGGGGCTGAGGGCCGGAGCGCCCTGCCCGCTCCTCACGGGGATGAGAGCCGCAGCTCCCTGCCCGCCCCTAAACTGGGTGAGAGCCGGAGCTCCCTGCCCGCCCCTCACGGGGGCTGAGGGCCGGAGAGCCCTGCCCGGTTCCCGCGGGGGCCGGGCCGGAGGAGGCGGTGGCGGGGGCGGGCACAGGGCGAGAGGGGCCGGCCCAGGGCCGCGCTACGTGTCCCGCAGCCCTTATAGGGCTTCCCCCGCCGGGCCCACCGCAGCAGCAGCCGCCGCAGCAGCAGCAGCAGCACCATGGCGAGCCGCGAGCACACGGTAGGGACGCGCCGGGAGCGGGGCTGGGCTGTCCCCGCGGGTTCTTCTCCCTGTCCTGCGCTGGGATCCGCGGGCAGCGGCAGTTCCGGCGCTGCTCGGGAGTTCGCCAGCCCGTCCATCCCTCGGCATGGATGGTTGGGCTGCCCGAGCATCCTCCGCATCCCGCACCTGCCCCGCGGGTCCCTCCAGGCACGGCCGGAGGTGCTGTCCTGCCCCGCTCGTGGCTTTTTGGGTGTCCCCTGTCCCGGTGCCAGGCGAGGCGCTCGCTCACCGCCGCCGTCAGGCTCTCAGCATCGCGGCAAAGCTAAAGGAATCGCAGCTCAGTGAGAAATTCGAATTGCAAATCACAGCCACGGCAGGCAGACACCGCGTTCCGCTTGCCAGCTGCCCTCCCCTGCTCCTCGGGGCTGGGTCCCTCTGGCTGCGTGTGCGTTTTCCAGGTTTTAAATCAGAACCAGAAGAAATCTTGACGTAAGTCTTTAGGGCTGCTTTCTGCTGGTTGATTCGCTTTTTTTTCTCCTTAACTTTGCCATAAACTTTTCCGATGGATTTGATGCATTTTGGACACAGTGGCAATCTGTCCGGGGAGGAATGCACCCAAACCCACACGGAACAAAGCGAGCCTGTGCAGCAGGGTGTTCTTGGAAAAGCAAAAACCTGTGGTTTAGGGATTATTTCAGGCAGGGGAGGTGCGAGCCCTGAGCTGTGTATGGGAGTTCTGTTCATTGCTGTGACAGGAGAGAGGTATTGCTGAACTTCCAGAATAATCCCTCTCCTTTGCCTCCACCCTGGGCTGGAAAAATGACCTTTATAAGCAAGTTTGTGGCTGACCTTTGTGCCGTGGCTGTCAAAACAGAGGCTATCGGCTTGACAGCTGTAGGTGGATTTTGGTGTGCTTATCTGCCAGGTATCCGTGGGGTGAGAAAAGGCGTGATTTGGCTAATTGCAGGAGGTTTGGGGAGCGATGGTGAAACGGTGATGTCCCATTAGTGATCTACCTGTGCCTTGCCAGGAAGATGTGGTTGCACAGAGTGAAAAGGAAGTTCTCTCTCCAAACTGCAACCTCAGCAGCTCCTTGGTTTCAGCCATCTCCAGTTGATATCAAAGGCTTGGATAAGGAATTTCAATTTGTTCAGGGTGCTTGGACCTTTTTTTGTGCCCACAGACACTTTTTGTAGCTGCAACAGCCAGGGGTGTTCCATTTTAAAATGAAGACACAATAATTTGTCCTGTTGAGATCCCTATTGATACAGCAGTAGGATCATCCTTCTGTTGCCCCTTCTTATTCCAGATTCTTTATTCTCCCAGTAACACAAATCCTTATTACCTCTAAAAATCTTTGTTGCTGCTAAAACCTCAGTTTTATCACAGTTTCTCTGTCCCACAGACCAGGAGGCTGGATGTTACCAGCTGTGTTCACTGAGGGGATGTCAGAGCTGGGTTTTGCAGGTGATAGTGTCAGCTGTCAGTTTTGGAAAGGCACAGCAGTGGCAGTGAGCTGGACCACGGTGTTATTTGACAAATTTAATAACTAGAAGCCCAGGTTTTAAATCCAAAATTCAGCCTGAATAATACTCTCTGGAGCTTGAATCTGGATTGAGGATGCTTTAATTGCACACCTATTTATTAATTGTTATTATGGTAAGGTGTAAAGAAGAAAACTTTTTTTTTTTTTTTTTTTTTTTTTTGCTTCTGCATGTGCTGTCCTTAAAAATGAGCACAGCACCTGAATTCTGCCTTGTGTGAGGACCAGAGTCCTGGTGAGCAGGAATCTCTCTTTGGCTGGTCAATGTGGAAACACTTTGTGCTCCCTTCATTTCTGCTCACCACACTGCAAGAGGCATGAAGCCCTCTAGGTGCCAGGCAGTTCCCTCTGTCCCAGCCCTCCCTGACAGAAAGCATTTATTGCTGGCCAGCTTCGGGACTGGCTTTTTGGGCAACGACCACCTTAGAGGCTCAATGTCCCTCCTGTGTGCCTCAGAGGCAAGCCCTGCTCTCTCTCAGTGAGGGAGGTGGGGCTGCCCTTGTTCATTGTTGGGCTCTTGCACAGCGTGGCTTTCAGGGCTCTGTGAGCACAGAGCAGCTCCTGCTCCCACACCGCGGCATTTCCGCAGCTCGCTGCCCGCGCCCGCCGAGCCTGCGGCGCTTTCCCGACGCCCAGCAGGACACAGATGGGGCACTGTGCTCCAGGGAAGCTTGCACAGAGCCCAGAGGCACAGCCCTGCCCTGCCGGGGGCACTGCCTGCGTGGCTTCGTGTCCCCAGGGCTGCGTGGCAAGTGCAGCTCAGCGCATCTCGGGGCATGGAGGCATTGCCAGTCCAGCCCCCAGTGAAGCTTCTCTTTGCTCTGCTTGGGGAGAATGAGAGCCCAGCGCTGAAACTGCCTTTTTCAGAGGTGTTCCAGCTTTGTCACCTGCCACCTGCAGCAGCATCTCCAGGAGTGTGGCTGGTGTGGCATTGTCACAGGGCTTGCAAGGGTTGCAGGGTGAAGAGAGAGGCGAGAATGTTGACCTCATGTTCCGAAGGCTGGATTTATCATTTTATGATATATATACTACATTATAACTATGCTACAAGAATAGAAAGAAAAGTTCTCAGAAGGCTGGCTAAGCTAAGAATGGAAAAAGAATGAATAACAAAGAGCTGTGTCTCAGCAGAGAGTGAGACCCAGCTCTGCTGTGAGTAGTCAGTAAATCCAAACATCCACAGGAGACCAATCACGGATCTACTTGTTACATTCTACAGCAGCAGATAACTATGGTTTACATTCTTTATCTGGGGCTTCAGCTTCCCAGAAGGGAAAATGCTAAAGAAAGGATTTTTATGAAAAGATGTCTGTGACATGGCATCCCTGGCTGGCAGTGGGATGTGCTTCCACAGCCCTGCAGGTGACAGAGCTGCAACTTCTGCTGGCACACTTGTGTTTGTGCAGGGCTTATGTGCAAATGATGTGGGCTTATTTAAATTTATTTAAAGAGCAGCAACAAACCCACAAGATCAAATCAACCCTGAGGAAAGAGGTTTAGTTTCTTTGCCTAAAAACTATTCTCATGTTGGAAAAAACAGAGCTGCAGGGCAGAGTTCAGATGGACTGAGTGATACCCCAGGCAGAGCAGGAACACATGTACCTCTCCATCGATTTAACTGCCAAGCAACATGAAAGAAAAAGCTTATTAAAACACCCAAACCCTGCATTCATCACTCTCACACTTACTCTTAACTGTTGCCTTGAAAGGGAAGAGCAAAACAACTTGAAAGATGTTTATTTTCAAAGGTGTTTATTTTCAAAGCAGTTCTGAGTAGCTCATTGCAGTGACACTGCCTGGGGGACAGGGCAGCAAAGCCATGATTTCAGAGAATTAGCCTGGCTTGCTCTGCACTGAGTCACTCCATAAAGTGAGTTTTCTCCAACTCATGTTTTATCCAGCGAGTCACAGGCTGCTTGTTCTTACAGCATGATTTATCCTGTGGAGCACAGTGCCCAGCTCATTGCACCGTGACATCCAAAGGTGATTGTTTCCCATGCTTGAGATTTCTTGCTTGATTTTCTATTACTTTGTTTGCTGTGTATCTCTTTTCTTCAGAGACCATGGAAAGGTGAGGTGATTAACTTCTGCTGCTTTGTTAATTATAACTTTCTCTCCTTTTCTTCACTATTAGAAAGTTCCCTTTCCAGTCTCTTTCATTTACTTGGGCTGCCAGTGTGCCAGAGCAGTGGTTAATAACCACAGTCAGCTCTGTAAAAGCAGACAGCTTCAATTTGGGGGATTTCAGGGAAGAAAAGCCAGGAGTAGTTGGAGGTTCCTCATTATGAATGCCTTCTCCTTTCCATGCTGATCCCTCCAGGGCTTGGGGAATGAAAGAATCACCTTGGTGTGGTCAGAGCACCTCTGCTGGTGGTGGTAGGAGTGGTGCTGCCGTCCCACACTGCCCACACATGTGCACTGCAGCTGCAGCTCAGATTTAGGCCAGGGAGTTTTGTTTTTCTGGAAGGTTTTCAAGACCAACTCCGGCATATTTGCTTTTTTTGTTTTTAATTATTATTATTTTAACTGGGCTGATGTTGATCCTGCAGGGTGCCTTTAGAAATGAAAAGCCTATCTGAAAGCAGGTGTTTTAGATAAACTCACAGCTGTATGTGCCCCCAAAAGATAAGGGGCACGCAGGGCCTGTGTGAATGCTTAAACCTGTACTTTGGTCACACTTTGCTCCTCAAAAATCCATTAAGGAAAAGGCTGTGTAATTCAGGTTGCCATTTCTGAATTTGCTGTTATCATGAGTGGGGTGGCACAGCTGAAGGCAGTGAGAAATAGCTCCTTAATGGGCTCACAGCTTAATCATTTCCAAGTGAAAATTTACCCTGAGTGTATCATTAACAAAAGGAGGGATGCAAAAAAGCCCTGCCCGTGCGTCATGCCACGGGATGCTGGGAGCTTGGGGTTTGCCTTGGGGCTGGTCATTCCTTGCTAGCGCTGCCTCCTGTCCCTCCCTGAGTGGTCTTTGCTCCTTTGCTCACAGCTTGGCTCGGTTACAGCTCCATGTGCCAAAAGCTTTGTCTGCTGAGTGGGTGCCAAAACGTGTTTGGACAGCAGAGCTTGAGGGAGGAGTTGTTTTACACAGATTTGATTTGATTTTCTGTGAGCTGCAGCACTTTGTGCCTTGTTGAGATGTGCATTGCTGGAAAACAACCATCTGCACCTACATTTCCAAGACTTTCTGACCTGGAAGTCTTTGTGGCCTCTCTGGCAGAACAAAATGTTTTCTTCCTTATCAAACTGTATTTTAGCTTCCCATTGTGGTGCATAAAATTGGGAGATCATTTCTGAGGCCTGCCCAGCCCTTCTGATGGGAAGATCATTAGGCTGTGTTGCCAGTGAGCGTGGGAAGAGGGGGAAAAAGTCATTTTAGAGGAGGAGTTTTTTACAGGGCTGCTCTGGGGGGCTGAACTGGGCACGATGAGCACCCCCAGCCATGGCTGGGGCAGCTCATTGCCACCCTGGG